CACGACATCCTACCCACGACCCATGACATTTTATCGACGACCCATGACATTTTACTCACGACATCCTACCCACGACCCATGACATTTTATCGACGACCCATGACATTTTACCCACTACCCACGACATCCTTCCCATGACCCACGCCTGTTACTCCCCGCATGTACAGTCAAAATATTGGGCCGATTTCATTTTTTGGATGTCAAATATTGCCAAAATTACCTTGGTAGGCTAGAATATCTGCCACAGAATGACCAGGAAAGCGATCTTACAATAGTGTCTCAAGTTCAAATAAAACCGTGACTTGGAGCCATTGTTTCCGAAAAATCGCTTTCCACCTCTGACATCTTCCAGACGATTTTCTCTGTCGACTAGTCAAGCTTAATGATGCAATCCTAGGGGCTCCTGTGCAAAAAAAAACCAAAAGAAAACACTTTTAAACGGTTTTTAGGTGAATTTAGGCTCAACCGCTCGTTAAACAAACTGTCTGACCTAAATTTACAAGGCGTTGCATAAATTAACCCTCCCTAGGGAATTCAAATCCGAAATAGTTTAAGTAATGGCCTGGACCGAGTAAGAACTAGGGAAGCAAACGGCAAAGGAATGCAAGAAGGTGCTAATAGTGTATTGTATAATCCATCCATCCCGTTGGTTTAAACAAGAAAATCTGCTATAATTTCACAAGTTAGCGCATTTTCTAATACTTTATTTAATATCTGATTCCGACTTCATGAAAGCTTTCTTTAGCTACAATATTAAGTAATGATTCGCCTAAGAAACAGGCAGACCAACGGCAAAAGCAAACAAACAAGTGTGAAAATTTTATTGGATTATCTAAAAATATTCGGCTTTGTGATTGGTGGAGACCAAGAAATCCCGAAAAAAGCCATGAATCACTTCATTTTTCGACAATTTTATTGGTCGATATAGACCTGCCATTCATTCCCTTTGTTCATGCTTACTATTGTATGCGCCAGTCAGAAGCTAGAGAAGTCACATACTTTTTGCATACTAATGACTCATCCGCCATCTTTGATTTACTGCTTGATCGGATGATTTGTTTGGGTTTAAAGACAATTTTTTTGCGAAAACTGCTCTAACTCCGCTCTTTAAATATGTGGTCATCAAGTTTTATTCATTTTATAACTTAATATAGACTTCTTGTTACAATATTCAATGACCTTTTACTGTTAAATTCCTTTCAAAAATGTTTGTTGTTCGCGTCGCGCGTTTCGACGATGGGCCGCTAACGTCACTACTATTGCTTTAGTGAGGACGCTTTCAAGAAACACTACATAATATAACAAAGATAATCAGTACATAAAAACTTCTTTTAAGTAACGAAATATCTACTCCTAGTGACGTGGAGACTGTGCAATGCAGTCTGCGTCCTGGGAGTTTGTAATCAATGAGAGTAACTTACGGTCACCTTCAGCGTCATAGTATTTCAACTTGGCGCGAGCTAGATTATTGCCTTTTTTTCTTAGGGAATGCAAAATTATTTTATAATATCCTTATTGTATTGAATGCATTGGGTACAATTACTTTCTAAACATTGTTTTGGCTGATTTTATTATATTTTACGATGATCAATTGGTGTCTGTAATTTCTCAGATTTTGACATTTCTTTTGTGTAATGCGACTTCCGACAAACTGCAACATTGTTACTGGAGTTGGAAGTAAATTTCTCCTCGATGGCGCATAGAATTTTTTACGAACTCTCAGAACAAAAAATTCAATAACAGCTTTTTCTTGTTTAATTCCCTGGAAATCCTACAAAAGTTTTAATGAAATTCAAATTTGGCGCTTTTGAGCGGAGCAAATACACCAATCACGTTCGGTTCTGCAATTGGATTAGCACGGACTGCTTAACGGCTGATATTATTGCCGCGGCCTATTATTGTTCTTTTGCCTACTCCTTAGGCGGAGCATTACTTAAGGCAATTCTACGAGGGGAACATAGCAAATTAGAAGCTTCTTTTGGCTATTGTTTTGAGTGCTTATGATTGGATAAGAGGTTTTAATACAAAAGAAACTTTGTTTCAAAATAGAGTTTATCCACATTTTATTTGAAAAATGTAGTGTTACCCATAGGTTCAGCTTGTTCTCGCCATTTTCAGTCTTTTTTAATATGTGTAACTTTTTTCTTTCTTTTTTTTCTTATTCTTTTTCTAAGGATTGCAAGCATCCATTGAAAAGAGTGGTAACAAACTTGGAATAATCCACGTGATCGGGACACCAGCGGAGGAAATGGGCGGAGGAAAAATCTACATGATTAATAACGGGTGTTTTAACGATACAGATGTCTGCATGATGGTTCATCCATCACCCCATGATGGCGTACAGTTTCCCTGTTTATGCATAAAACACCTTTTTATCACATTCAAAGGATCTGCTGCACATGCGTCGTGCTTTCCTTGGGAAGGAATTAATTCACTTGATGCCGCAGTCCTGGCGTACAGCGGTATCAGCATGATGAGACAGCAGTTTAAACCAACATGGCGGGTACATGGAGTGATCCACGAGGGTGGGGTTAAGCCTAATATTATACCAGACATGGCTAGAATGGAGTATTACTTAAGGGCGCCTAATAGGAAAGATATGGAAGAATTAGAAAGAAAGATTACTGCGTGTTTTGAAGCAGCAGCGAAATCAACCGGTAATGATCGATTCAAATACGTCGAGTGACATATGCGTCAATTTTAATACATATTGCTCTAGCTTATCCTTTTGGTTTTGCTTATTGACACCAAGTTCGGCTTAGATTTTATCAAATTATTTCCCAAGCACGTAATGCATACCAGAGGAATCTTTAACACTTTCCGAGATTTCCTGTGATCTGTTGATTCCCCGATTCTTYCCCGATTTTTTATTTTATTATCTACTAGTACACGATAAAAAAGCTACCAATTCAATATCCAATCTATAGACATGAATACCAGCTTATCCATGAAACGGAATTTATCCGAGAAAACGTGTTTATTTGTGGCTTTAGCATTTTTTCGTACGGCTTGTTGTCATTGAAGTTCTTGCATCGCTCGCATAAAATTATCTTGAGTTTGATACCATTAGAAGATACTAGCACAATAAAAAATCTTTAAAGATGAATTYCACCTTATTATCCATGAAACGGAGTTCATCCGCACTAATGCTTTGATGCGGTATTATTTGTGGCATGGTGAATTTTATCTTCGAGTGAAAGGAGAAAGCTTGAAGTGGCGGCACGTCGAAGTGGTTTATTATCAAACATCAAAGTGTCAAAACAAAGTCTTTCAGCAAGTGTTTTTCTGCAGTCTTTCCAAAATCTCATCTAGATATAATTTGCATACCAATTCTGAACGGAAAAGTAACATAAAACTTTAATTTAGATTCAAACCAATGAATTGACGGTCAATTGACGAAGATATGTTTTCATTCAGCGAAAGCAGCACACATTTCGTTGCTAGTTTTACGTACTTTTTTCTAATATTATGATCCAGTTCACCTTTTGAGAGGCATGCACCCTTTACTCTGCAACAAACACGTAGTTTGTTTTTGCTTGATAAGGAGTCTAAACATGCAATTTTGTTGCACAAARAAAAAAATCGCCCGCCGTCGTCCGCCATTTTTTTAAACGCTACACGTCTCTGACATCGAGTGGAGCAAGTGTCAAACCTGCTAACTTCGTATTTCGTTAAAACGTGAAMTTTCATTGGCTGGTTGAAAAAAACATTGAAATGTTTGTTGTAATGAGAAACCGTACTTTCATCATAAAAGTTACATTCGATTTCTAAAGTTTTTAAAGAATGATATTAAAAAAGCGGTCTCTCGTGCTTCATTGATCTGCTCTCGAATTCTCCCAAACAAACGCCTCGATTTTCATAGCGCTATGAAGGCAGGGAAAAATGTTTTATTTCTTAATTAAACTATACATAGCTGTGCTTTATTTCAGGATGCACTATGGAGATTGAATGGATGAATATGAGTTCTTATCAAGACATGAACATCAACTCGACTCTAGCAAACCTATACAGACACAATGCACAAGAACTCGGAGTGAAATTCAAATCAAGGGAGGAAGAATTCGGTACATTTATGGGATCAACGGATATGGGAAATGTGTCATATGCTGTCCCATCCATCCATCCATTCTATAGTATTGGCTCAACGGCGCCAAACCACTCTCATGGTTTCACAACTGCAGCAGCAACTGATATTGCACACAAGAAGACGCTGATTGCAGCTAAAGCAATGGCAATGACTGCGATAGATGTTATGAGTAATCCTGATACTTTGAAGCTTATCAAAGAACAGTTTRAACAATCATTCATAAAGGATTAATGTATGCCAAAGTGCCATATTTGCTTTTGTATGGGGATTCTTGGAAATATATGATTTGTATTTGTAAGTGTAGTTCTCTAAATACTTATTGTATGTAATACAGTWGAAACCCGCMTATAAGAACCTACATTTTTGGGAAGCAGCCTAAACAGGTTCTTATCAGWATAAAKGATAGTTAACACAATTTTAGGCTACTGTATCTAGTTTCTTAAAATATGTTCTTAATTCTAAAGTAATTAAAAGCAAATAAAACAAGATGGTTATTTGCCGATTTCCTGACCCCGCCCCCATCCCCATCCCAGCCTCACCCCCACCAAAACATTCATAGAAAAAAAAACACATTTTAAAGTAATGAGAATCTTTTTTTCTTTAAATGGGAATCTTGCTCTGTAGCTGTATTATGGCTAATATGATTTTCAAAATAGGAACCCGTTTTCAATTTTAGGCCAAATAGGTTCTTGCTTATATGTATAAAATCCATATTTTAGGCTAACAGGTTCTTAATTTTCAGGTTCTTATATGCGGTTTCTACTGTATTCACACCCGAACGAACCAGCTTAATACCGATAGCAATTTTATATCTTAATCATGTTTAGTCACATACAATAAAAGTGGAGAGCGTTTAATTTTGGTCTTGTTTTCATTGTGGTCCAGGTACTGGACGGGGTTTCAAGTCCGCCCAATTAGTTCCAGTCCGAGGCGTTAGCCGAGGACTGGAACTAATTGCAAGGACTTGAAATCCCGTCCAGTCCGAATTGGAGGACTTTGAAAGACTTCTCATACTCATTAATTATTCGGGAGGGGAAAAAAGCGAAGGAAATAAATATAACAGAAATATATTGGTCATGATTTATTGCATCTCCACCAAGGTTTTCAGTTTTCATAACTTTGAATAAAGAAGCACCGTTTGTTGTTTTCCAATTCCCGAACGGCTTTCTGAAACAAAAGCTTTTCAAATTGTCTTTGTTTGCTTTTCATGGCATTCCTAATGAGCCTAATTCATAAGTTTTATAAGTATGTTATCTTCCAAGGAATCGCATCGGAAACTCGGTGGTGTAATGCCATAAGACGGCGCATATAGATTGGACGGTTCGGGATCGTTTCGTGAGGGAGTCATTTATCAAAGACCTTTTTTCACTAAATTAATTCTATATCAAGTTGATTATTTCTAATACTTCATTAGCTAGTAGTAGTTAGAAAAAGGTAGAAGTAACTAGAATCAAGGTAAGAGTAACTGGAAATAAGATAGAAGTAACTAGAAACAAGGTGGAAGTATCTGGAAATACGATAGAAGGTAGGAGTACTTCCTCTGGTATCCAGTTACTGCACGTGGTACAAATTACAATCAGGGATTGGCTGAATACCTCATGAATAATTAATGAGTTTTTGAAGTAATGTTTAAAGGCCGACAATGAGGACTTGTCGGGGTTTCAAAGTCCGCGCAATTAGTTCCAGGAACTAATTGCAAGGACTTTGAAATCCCGTCAAGTCCGAATTGGAGGCCTTTGAACGCCTTCAAAAATTCGGGAGGGGGAAAAAGCGAAGGAAATAAATATAACAGAAATATATTGATTTATTGCATCTCCACTAAGTTTTTCAGTTTTCATAATTTTGAATACATGATGTAAATAATGTAGAAGTAACTTGAAAAAGGTAGAAGTAACTGGAAATAAGGTAGAACACAAGGTACGAGTACTTCCTCTGGTTTCAAGATACTTCACGTGGTACAAATTACAATAAGGGATTGGCTGAATACCTCATGAATAATTAATGAGTTTTTGAATGCTTTTTCTTTTTTCGTATGAATAGACTGCGTGACTTATTCGTACGGACATGGATTTTTCTATTTCAAATAAGCCGAAATGCGACTATTTCCACGAAAAAATGATTAATCATAAATTCATAATACACAAAAAAAAATACAAAAAATGTTAAACATAACAGGTATTGAGAACATAGTAGTGACATTGCTGCAGTCAGTGTCTGACATCGGAGTTTACGAATTCATTAAGTGTCGCTTTTCGCGATGATGTATTCTATGCCGGGCTAAATGTGCATGGTAAAATCAGGAAGTTTGTAGCGTATTCATATTATTATTTGACCCTAAACAAAATTATAGTATTTTAAAATCGATATCTTATATAATTACTTTAAAATGTCAGATATATACCATGTCCGTACGAATAGCAAACATAACTCGGACACTCTGTTTAAAAATTGTTCTCGGTTGCGCAATCGCCGCGCTGTGAAAACTTATTATACGTTTAATGAAAACAAGCCAATGAAAGCGCGCTTTAAAATATCACATTATAGAAAATATATAGAAGTAATTACTAAATGATTCTGCAGATTTTGTAATTAAACATTAATGCATAGGAAGCTAATTCAAAGACAACAACAAAAAGCAAAAAAAAA